CTAGTGAGGATATTATGGGTCAACTAAGGATTAGAGATTAGGGAAATGAAATGACCCAAAACAATAAAGAGTGGATAATTAGTAGTGGGAAAATTGTTAGATGGGTCCACGTGGACCCCACAACGTCAACGTAGGGTTAAACGAAGTTTTTGAGAAAAACGAGTTTTCTAAACGTTTATAATCTATTGGTACGTTTGATATTAGCTGAAGCGTTTTTTTCTCGTTTATGGAATTGTAATAATCTGAAAGTCTAGATTGAGAATAATTTTCTACACAAGACGATAATAATTTCCTTTCTTCTTCAAAAGACAATCGACACCGTTTGTCAATAAGATCTTTGAAGATCAAGTAAAAATTAAAATAATACATGACAAATTTTTTTCTTAAGAGATAAATATAAAGATTTTTCTTATTAACATCTATTTGCATTAAAAAATCTGTTTGATAACTACTTAATAAAAGATAAATCAATCGAAGAAAAATAGCATGAGTATTACGATGATGAGTATATGAACCATCAATAGCAATACTAAACATTGATTCTTCTGAACCAGCATAATTTGACCAAGGTTTTTCTAAATCTGGACATGTATTTTTCAAAAAATTTTAAAATAATATTAAATTCTATGTCTGAATATTGACAATTTTGCCAACATGTTTTAAGAATTTCTGCGCAAATTTCATAACCATTCATTTTAAGAAACAAATCTTGATCTAAAGTAGCAGTTTTAAAATAGAGAAGAGCAAGATAAAGACTTCCAGCTGTTGTTTCTGAATTAAGACATTCTAAATTTTGATCGATTTCATATGAAAAATATGCTGGTCTTCCGACTTTCTGCAAATTAAACTCTATTATATTAGAGAAAACTGATTGTTTTCTTTCAATCGGATGATAAGGAATAATTATTTTCCGATTGAATTTCATTGGATTATCACTTTGGATATTTGGTTCTATTACTAAATACTGTGATAATCCACATAATGTATTAATATGCTGGTCTTTACTTAAACAATAATCCTTAAAATCTTCTGATATGATGCTTGTACCTTCAATTTTGAATTTTAAATTTAGTCTTGGTAGATAAATCATAACTGGTTCACTGTCTTCTTTCTTATTTTTTAATGCTAATATATAATTTTCGTCTTCAAATCGAGAAAATGTTGTATATAATCCATTTGACCGATCAAATCCATCTTTAGTGAAAGGAATAAGAAATTTTTGATTTTCATTCGAATAAATTTCGTTATTATTTAAATCTATTTCATATTTCACTATTTTATCTTCATTCTTTATAAATATTTTATCATTCTCATACCAATGACTATAAAAGGTTATTTTATCATTTTCGAAATGTGTATAATTTTCCAGCAAAAATTTTGGTAATGTACTTAAATAACTTTTCGAAACAAATGTTTGGTTTTTAGCTTCAATCCAAATTTTATCATTGGACAATAAACTAAGTCGAATGTTTACAGATTCTTTAGTTTTTGTTTCGTAAAAACGCAGTGTTTGTCCGAAAACGTTTCTATCAGTAACATCTACAAGGAAATTTTGTGTACCAAAACATTCTTTATAATGTGAATGATTCAGAATTCGGCTAGGCAAACCTGACAAAGGATAACCATTTTTGAATAAACGACCCTTCAAAGGTACAAAAGAGTAACAAGCTTTAACGTAAATATTCATACTAGTATCTATTTTCCATGATCCTTTTGAAATTCCAACATATGCATCTAATATGCTTAAATTGTTATTGATAGTATTTTCAATTTTTGAACTTAAGTTAAAAAGATTAGTCATTGTTTTTATGTACAGACTATATGGTACGAAACTGTTCAACTTCGAATGGTTCTCTATTCGTATTCTCAATTGAAGAATTTGTGAAACTTCTTTTTCATCGATCGCCTTTGAATTTTTATGCGTTAAAATATAATAACAACTCAAGATAGATGCTAAAGTTTGATTATCATTGAGATTTGATGTATTTTTTTTGTCGTCATTTATATATTTCAATAGTGCGACACGAAGTTTTTTTAAACATTCTTCGATTAATATTTTAATATCATCAGAACAAAAATCATACAAATACAACAATATATCTAAAGCATGACCCATTGATTTATATTGTGTAATTCTTTCTTTTAAATCAAAAGCTATTTCAATGAATTTATTTACTAATGCAAGAGCGAAATTTTTGTTCTGAAATTGTTTTTCTAACAAACAAATATTGTCATTGGTTCCTAATTTATGTAATGCTTGTTTAACTAAATAACAATGTTCTTCTATCTCGAAGCTTATCTCGTTGCTTTTTAATGCAATATATAAGAGCGTAAATCTTAAATCATCATCTCGCTGAATAGAACACAAACGATGATATTGTGGTCTAGTTAAGTTATCTGGTTTTTCGTTCTGAGTACCAATAATTTCATTTTCAAACACATTGCTTTTATATTTTTGGTCACGGTCAAATACAATCAATCTCTGATACTTATTTTGTTCTTTAGGCAACATAAAATCAGTAAATCTCTCTTTATCATGCGAATACCACCATCCAATGGGTAAACAAGAGATGCTACGATACTCGTAGCTATCACATCTAAATCGACTATATATATTTGTATGTGAAGACAAAGAGTTTATCTTATCTATAGCTTTTAGAGAAAAACCACACAAAGATAATTGAGACAAACGAGCGATCTCTCTCAAATATCTTAACAAGTCGGGCAAATACTTATCACTAAATAAAAGTTCACTCCATCTTCCATTCAGTTCATCTAATTTGGCTTTTTCGAGAGTTTCTTCAAACTTTTTGTAACTATCTGTAAAATTATTTTTCAAAACCTTCAACGCATAAATCACATCTGTATTCTTTTCATGAGAGTCATTAGATATCCACATCGATGAATAATGAAAAAGACAATTTTCTTTTGCTATAGATTTTACAACATCAGTACTAGACAGTTTAAAATATGCGTTAATATTATCTATCAAGCCAAACCATTTCCTTTCTGGCAAAGCTAATTGTGGAATGACTGATTGTAATGATATCTTGTCCCACTCTGTACTTATTGTATAATCTGTAAGACTAGGACCGAGTCTTTTATCTTGTCTAGCTAGATCTTCCATCATAGCGAAAAGACTAAATAAAATAAGAACAAGTTTTGTATAATAGATTGGTTCATATGTGCAATTTTGGTCAGGATATAATTGAGAAGTAACGATAGCAGAGCAATTATAATAGAGATTTGCAATACGAATTAATATACGAGCTAATTCAGCATTAGATTTCTCATCACTCCACCAGTTTCTAAATCCGTTTTCTTGAACGATTGAAAAAACCAAATCTTCTATTAACTGAGATACTTGAATGACTCGATTAAATCCATAATCTTGAGTAATTTCATCTAACATTCGATTAAATTCAAGTATTTTCACGTTACTTTTATCTTTTCTAAAGTTTAGCGTGTGAAAAGAAAACTGTTTTCGTACCGTATCACTTAACGAAGAAGTAAGATTACTAATGATATTTTCTTTAATAAACTTTAATCCTTTTAGATTTTCTGTTAAAAATTTTTGGAAATTATTATGTTGAAATATCATTTTCTTAATATGTCTCTCATTTCGTTGTTCATCATTTAATTTCTGATTATTATTAAGAATACTCTGTTGAACCATCAATATGTAATCAGCAATTACTTCCTTTCTAATATCCTGACCATTCGCAGTACCATAGACTACTTTATTACACATTTCATGCAGTAAAAATTGATATTTTAGACAACTTAATCTGTCATTAGTTTCTAATTTTTTAAATTTATCAAAGCTACTTATTAGCAATTTAAATTGAAATTCATAAATTATCTTGAGATATAAAGAGTGCTCTTCTTGACTGCCAAAGAATTTTTTTAATAAATAATAGAATACATTCTTGATAAGTGTCCAGGATAAACTGAAAAATCCTTTTTCCTCCATATTGACAAAGGATTCTTTTTCATTCCTTATATGTCCTTCTCCACCTAATTTCGATAAACAACTTCGTATAGATATGCTGAGTCGTAATCTTCTTTACCAAGAATAGTTCTAAATGTCAGTAGATGTAATAAAAATTTTACATTAAAATTTGTTGATGGAATTTTCGTTATTTCTAATCCTAAACTAATTTTATCTGTTGTAAGTTCACGATGTGATCTATGATAAGGACTTATCGGATCTATCTGAATTAATCTTTTAGTTTCTTTACTTTCAAATTCAATAATACAGGCAATAGAGTACGGACCACTATAGTTTGATTCTAGCATGAGAACGTTTGGAAACCTGAAACGACGAAAACTAGCGTTGGCAAAACTACTCGGTATAATGCAGATATCTTGTAGATTCTTTATCCTTTCCTGTAACACAATGGTATAGTTCTTAACGTCTTGTTTTTGTTCTGAAGATTTTCTAATAGAATCCACTACTATCAGATCTATAAGCCATTGCTTTAATATTTCAAAAATGACCTTCATTTTCTTTCTTTGCTCATTTGAAAATGAAAAGATTTTTTCAATTTTATCGACTTCTTCTTTGCTTTCAATTTTTAGCAACAAATAATTTAGTAACAAATATAACATTTGTTTTTCATTCGGCCTTTCTATTTCAGATTTAGCTGTCATACTCGAACCATAGAAAATCGCAAACAGCTCACCATCTTTACTAACCATCATTGTTTCGATTTCTTTTTCAATAAAAACTTTCAAATTAGAGTCTTTTGGAATTATATTCAATGCAGATTGTAATATGTCGTCCTTTCGAAGATTTGCAAGTGTTTCAGTGGTACCTAAAGAAAGTAAAGAAATTTAAATATCAATCTAAGAAAAACATCAATGTCATTGAGTGCAGACGGTGGCATGTACAGATATTCGTACATATAAGTTCACGCTCCTAACTCCCATGCAGTGAAAAACCGAAAACTAAAACTCAAAAGTTTTGGTATTGATGTGTGCCGAGCTACGAGAGAATGATATCAAAAGTCTCACTTGTTTCTTGCTTGATAAAAGGTGGCATGATGAGCTGATATGTCAGCTCTAGTTCTTGCAATTCTATCATATGTAAACCATCGGCTTCAGTCCATTTTTTCAAGACCAAAAGGTAAGTGCCAGGCATCAGAAGAATTTCTTTCTCATCTTTGAAGTAAGATTGAGATTCAATACATCGACCGTTTATACATTTGATCTTAAAAAAAGTACGTTCACCCGAATTTCCTACAAATTGTTCCGCCACCTTCTGGCTCTCTGTGCAGGAACTGAAACCCCACCATATTTTATACTTTTTATATTGATTATCCAAATTACCGCGTACAGCGCGCCAAAGTGTTTTTTGACGGGTGGCAACTTGTACAGAGCCGTAAGAAAGAGTTTGAGATAGAAGAACCGTGGCTTTAGTTCGTTTCGTTGCTCAGAACGTAGTGTCCAATTGAGAAGATTGTACAGACCATCATACGAGTCAGGCCATTGCATCGTGTAAAGATGAATAACGGCTGATTCATCTGATGTGAGACCATCAGATGGTTCGTTGGAGTTCTGCAAAGCTACAAATACCATTGCGTCGATCTTGTGCAACAATTTTTTTATTGGTTCCATAGTTTCGTTGAGTGGCAGCAAATCTTTCTTTTCCTAGCCTTCTATTGGTACCAGAACTTTATTGGGTTCTTCACCGGCATCAACAAATCGATGGATTTTAGATACATCGCCCATATTTGTGACCGAATAACCAAAGTAAAAAAACAAATGGAAATAATCACAGTGTTTTTTTTCTCTGTTAGATCTGCTTTCTTCTATGTAACGCTGATAACAGCATTATACGAGAAGTGAGTGAAGCGAGAGGTAAAGTGTTAAAGACAAAAGCAAGAAAATAAAACGAGATAAGGATTTTTTATTAACATTCAGTTTCAGTATCTCTGTGAATAAGGTGCACAATGCATAATAAAAAGAGATTACAAATAAATAGATAAGGTAGCTCGAACCATAACAGAATGACAAAAAGTAACGATCATATAATGAAAACCGAAAATGTGTAGTTGGCGATATTTAACGTTACAGGAGAATAACAAAACAGAACGGTCGAGAGAGAAAATGTAGAGACAATAATAACAGGGAAAGAAGAAATTGCAGTCACTCATTTACACCTAAACACAAGATGTGAATATGGGTGGGTTTAAGTCATTTTTTAGGCTATAGTCACTCAGCCAAATCACAGCTCTTATCGGACTGGGTGTGGGATGTGGGCAAGGTGGATGGTGTGTGTGGGTAGGTGCATGTATGGGTGTGATCCTTCTATTCATCCACAGCACACCCACACCCACACCCATACCTTTCAACAAGTACTTTTGCTGATGGTTGAAATTGATTATTCTCTATTAATAGTTGCAGGTTACCATGAACGCCATCCATAAAAGACGTTGAGTAGAGAAAACGAACAATCTTCTAGAAAATGCCTGCTTATTAAAATATGCGACTTTGTGTTTTTAGTAAATAACAATTTATTAAACAAATAAATCAAAAAAATAGACATCATTAAACACACATTTCATAAAGAATAAATAATAATAGAATTTGTTGCAAAGCAAAAGTTGACATATAAAGAGTATTTTATTTCTTGACCTTAATCTTTTCCTGTGCTACTTGTTACGTTGTATTAAGATTTTTTTGTCTTTTGATTACATAATTTATTTGACTACATATTACAAAAAAACATAGATACAGAAGTACAAAAATAATAGTCTAAGATCAATCAATCTTTTACTTTATTATGTCCTATCGAATGAATAAATAAAATACATATGAGGCATACTAACTAACCACGTCCTGTTACAGTCTTCGTTGCAAAGGTTTTTATTTTGTGAAATACAATATAAAAGTAACATGTTGTGCATTTTAATCTCGATAGCGATTGCGCTAAAAAAATTTTAAGTACATTATATTTTAATGAGTAGAAAGTTCAAAAAAACAATATAGAATAAGAAAAACAAAAAATAAGGTACAATGTTTATGCTACTTGGCAACCTAATAGCTTTCATATTTCTTCTCAAGAAAATAACATTCTACCCGTCATGGATGTCCATCTAGCATAAACATTGTACCTTATTTTTTGTTTTTCTTATTCTATATTGTTTTTTTGAACTTTCTACTCATT